AAAAAAAAAAAAAAAAAAAAAAAAAAAAAAAAAAAAAAAAAAAAAAAAAAAAAAAAAAGCAAACGAGAGAGGAAGAAAAATAGAGAAAGAAAATAAGGTATAGTTTAAATAGCACATGGTCGTTTAAATAGCGCTGCAGAATTCAAAAGCGAACTCCCTTTACGATTCCAAGGGCCGGTTCGGATCCTGCTGCGTTGGCAGTATCCCGTAAGAAAAGAGGCGTGCTTCTTTCGAGAAGTGCACAGCTGTTCCTCGAAACTCGAATAACTTGAACCCGAAGAAACGGGGCTGCGCTACAACCGCATGTATATTTTACAAGTAGAAAGAGAGGGGCACGTGTCTCTCTCTCTCTCTCTCTCTCTCTAAGTTTTTCGCTTTATCGTTTTTAAAATTATACTTTTAACAATCTTCAAAGCACGATTGTTGTTTTAAAAACAAGAAATATACCTGCACAATAGGCATGATACCTATTCAGGCAAGACAAAAGTCGCTAATAATAAATAAGATTAGGTTTGAAATTTTCCAAAAAAGAAAGTATCTTTGCGGCAAAATTTATGTGACTCAACCTTATATTTATAAAGACGTCGTATATAATGTATATATATATCAAGATTTCTCCAAAAGATATTAAACTTATAATGATATTTTTACCAAATTCCGCCAAAGCTTCTATATTTGTTACTTAGACATTAAAATTGTTCAATTTACGGGAGTAATTGTAGCTTACAAACAATTTTTATAACTTTTGAAATTCTTAATCATCTTAAGCAGCTATCATAAATACGTGTCGCTACGTGTGTGTATGTTTTCGAAATATTCAAAAGCAATTTTTTAAACTTAGAACAGCTGAGCTTTTTATATTGCATTGCCCTAGCTTTTCTTCTCTTACTTCTTTCCCCTCTTTCTTTACAATCTTTTGCACTTTTTGCAAACTTTGTTTCTCCGTGTTTCTCTCGTGTTTACTTTTTTTTGTTTCCGTATTCTTTTCCAATTAACCGCTATTTATAATTCTTGCGTTACACTTCGTTCATATTAGCACAACGCGTAGCTAAAACAAATGACAAAATTTTTTAAATAGCTTAGTCAGAGTTGCTCGAACAATCGGTCGTCAATTAGTAGTCGTCGATGCGGAGGGGTTATCGCGAGATTTTAAGACGTTCGTAAATTCAAGCGATATGTGAATTTATTTATGAAAAGAAGCCGCTATTAAACATTCGCATGCGCCAAGTTGCAATTCGGGAATTTCGATATCGGTTTTTTTCTCGTATATACCATAACTCAATGGTACCGGGACATGTAAAACGGCGAATGGAAAGTTGGATGATATTAACGCGCGAGATGCATATCTCGCGACAAAGTACACACATTGGAGTCATTAAAATAGTCTCAGTAGAGGGAAAAAGAAAAAAAGATATCGCATCTCGTAATCGCGCTATTAAATTGGCAACTTACATACGTCAAACGCCTCCAATTTACGCTCGATGTAG